AATATTCTTTTCAATATGAGAAGTATTTTTATATAAAAAAAAAAGTAAAAAAAAAAAACCAAGAGGTGGGTCCCGGGGAAGCCTCGGGGCGCTGTGGGCCCGAGGCCTGCAGAGGGCGGCCGCTGAGCGGAACTGAGGCCGGCTGCAGAGACCCCCGCCGGGCCGGGCGGCCGTCGGAGGGACGTTGGAGGCGGGGACGCGGAGGGAGAGGTAGGGTAGGTGCCCAGTGTGTGCCGGGCGTCCACCTCTGAAGACCGGGCGGCGCCGAGGCGGGAGTGGCAGCTCTGGGGGCTGCGTCTCCTTGGAGGGCTTGCACCAGCCAGGGCGCCAGCGGTGTGTGCACAGGACCTCTCCCTGCTGGAAGCCGCGGCCCGCGGTGGGCGACGTGGGGCCTCGGCGAGCTTCTTCCTCGGGCTACCACGGGGTAGTCTTCACTGTCAGAGCCCAGGAGCACGGAGTGGAGAATAAAGGTGGCTCTCAGGGGTGACCCACTTCTTTTTTAATTTCCTCCTGCCTATTATGGTCTCTTCAAAAAAATGTTTATTTGAGAGGCAGACTTAGAGAGGGACAAACCCCTGGTTCACTCCCCAGACGCCTGCTGATGCTGAGCCGGGACCCCATCCTTTCAGTCCCGTGGAGGGCGGAGGGCAGGTGCCGGAGCCTCCAGGCTGTGCCTGAGCTGGAGCCGGCTCAAGCGGAGGCGGGACTTGAACCCAGGCAGTCTGATCGGGACGCAGGCTACGCAAACAGCAGTGTCCCTGCTGCCCCCAACACCCGCCCGCATGTCTGCCGATCTAATTTGTTGCTATTGTGCCGCATCATAAGCAGCCCCTGGTCTTACAAGTTGCTCCTTCCTCTCTCCCACAAAAAACCAAGGTGTTTCGTACCAAATCTCCAGCGCCCACACCCAAGGAAGCGTGTTAGTGGAGTCTGCTTGTCCCAGGGCCCGGCCTGCGCGCTGGCTGCGGGGGCTCCTCCCACCACAGACTGCTCTGGGGGTGATTCCCGTCCCGCTGTGTTTTGAGTTTATCCTTTGCCTCCTCCACTAAACCAACATGAAGTTTAAATATGACGTCATCTGCCTAGCGTTTCCCCTGCGCCAGTGAGCCCTCATTATGGCTCATGAGCTCACCTACAGCATCGGCGCCCCAGAGAAGAGCGTCAGTGGTTTTTTTTGTTTTTTTGTTTTTTTTCACAAGGCAGGGGACAGAGCTACAGAGAGGCCGAGGCAGAGGGAGAGAGGTTTCCATCCGCTGGTTCACTCCCCAGATGGCTGCAACAGCCGGAGCTGGGCCAATCCACCACCAAGAGCAGGAAGCTTCTTCCTGGTCTCCCACACAGGCGCAGGGGCCCAGGGACTTGTGCCATCTTCCACTGTTTTCCCAGGCCATTAGAAGGGAGCTAGCTGGAGCAGAAGTGGAGCTGCCAGGACTCGAACCAGCGCCCATAGGTGGTGGCTTTACCCACAAACCACAGCGCTGGCCCCAGAGCTTCAGTCTCTCACGGTTGGCCCCACCTCCAGGAAGCCCCCACCTCTGCTAGACCCCAGGTGTCCCGGGAGGGAGAGTCTTGCACCTTGCTCAGCCAACTCAAGGACAAGGAAGCACTGGCCCCACTGGTGAGAAGGGGTGGCATCAGTTGGAAAAAAAATCACAGTTATTTAAACAGATTTATTTATTTATTCATTCACTTATTTTTGAAAGAGACAGTTGTAGACAGAGAGAGGGAGAGATAGAGAGAGGATCTATCCACCCACTGGTTCACTCCCCAAATGGCCGAAACAGCAGGAGCTGAGCCGATCTGAAGCCAGGAGCTTCTTCCGGGTCTCCCACGTGGGTGCAGGGGCCCAAGCACTTGGGCCATCTTCTACTCTTTCCCAGGCCACAGCAGAGAGCTGGATCCATATGGGATGCTGGTGCTGCAGGCGTCAGCCTAGCCCGTTATGCCGCAGTTCCGTCCCAGAATCACAATTTGAGATGACAGCAATGACTCGTAAGCACCAGCTCTGTAAAGAAAGCGAGGTCCCGGGCCGGCGCCGCGGCTCACTAGGCTAATCCTCCGCCTAGTGGCGCCGGCACACCGGGTTCTAGTCCCGGTCGGGGCACCGGTTCTGTCCCGGTTGCCCCTCTTCCAGGCCAGCTCTCTGCTGTGGCCAGGGAGTGCAGTGGAGGATGGCCCAGGTGCTTGGGCCCTGCACCCCATGGGAGACCAGGAAAAGCACCTGGCTCCTGGCTCCTGCCATCGGATCAACACGGTGCGCCGGCCGCGGCAGCCATTGGAGGGTGAACCAACGGCAAAGGAAGACCTTTCTCTCTGTCTCTCTCTCTCTCACTGTCCACTCTGCCTGTCAAAAAATAAAAAATAAAAATAAAAAAATAAAAAAGAAAGCGAGGTCCCTAGGATTCCTTAGTGTTCCGGCTCTGCAAGCACAAAGCTAAGCGTGACCTCTGTCGGGGGTGGAGCATCCTGCCTCTGTCTGGAAGATGGCTGCAGGGCTCCATGTCCAGCAGGCAGCTGGTGCAACGCTGAAGCACGCAAAGGGTGAGCAGCACAAGGCAGGAGAGGGTGAGCGTGGGCATGCACATACGTGCCCCCAGGTATAAACATGCACACTACACATGCCGCTGTCTCAGGAAGGGATTAGACAAGGCCTTCGGGCATGGCTACCAAATTATGCAACAAATCCAGCACCCAACACCTGTTGGCGTGAAAGGATAGGAGAATACAGAGTCAAGGCAGGAGCTGCCTCATGCAGCCCTCATGTTCTAGGTACGGAAGCAGCCAGAGAGGGAAGTTTCTTTCCTGAGGCTCCCCTCCAGCTGGGGCGCTCAGGTGCCATTTTCCTGTTGAACCACACAAACTCCAGGGCGGGGCAGGATGAGCTCCTCAACAGGCTACCAGTCTGAACTGCGGAGAGCAGAGGTAGGACCAGAACCACCCTTGGACCAAGGCCAAATAGGCCCCGACTTTTTTTTTTTTTTTTTTTTAAGATTTATTTATTTATATGAGGGGCAGACTTACAGGGAGAAACAGAAAGACAGACAGAGCTTCTGTGTGCTGGGTCGCTCTCCAAATGGCCCCAACAACCAGGACCGGGCCAGGCTGAAGCCAGGAGCCAGGGACCTCATCCAGGTCTCCTGTGTGTGGCAGGGGCCGTCCTCCAGTGCTTTCCCAGGCGCATTAGCAGGGAGCTGGATAGCAGGGGGAACAGCTGGGACTCCAACCTGTGCTGGTGGGGGACAGCGGCGGCGCCGCACCGCAGTGCCAGGCCCGGTGTCTGAGAGCCCCACTCAGCTTCTCCAGCTGCACCACTCCCCACAGGACAGGCGGTCTGCAAGGCCAAGGAACCCTCCCCCCAGGAGCCCATGCCCCGCCCACTCGGGTGCCCAGCATGCAGAACCCTGCCCCTGCAGGCCCAGGCTCACCCTCGGGCCACGGATCTCTTCCAATAGTGCGTCCTCCAAGGGTCGGCCAAAGCCAGGACATGTGGCCCCAAGGGTAGCTGCTTGCAGGCAGAGGAGGCCCTTGGACGGACATGTGGGGCGTCCACATGTCCACGTGAAGCTTGCTTTGCGGCAGGAGGGCCGCAAAGGACCAGGGGTGGGAGAGGAGGGCGGGGCAGCTCTGGCTGGGACTAGTGGCAACCTGGATGCCACGTTCCTGGTCACGGCTCCGGGGCGCCGAGTCCTGGATGCCACGTTCCTGGTCACGGCTCCAGGGGCGCCAAGTCCTGGATGCCACGTTCCTGGTCACGGCTCCAGGGCGCCGAGTCCTGGCTGCCACGTTCCTGGTCACGGCTCCAGGGGCGCCGAGTCCTGGATGCCACGTTCCTGGTCACGGCTCCGGGGCGCCGAGTCCTGGCTGCCACGTTCCTGGTCACGGCTCCGGGGCGCCGAGTCCTGCCGGCGGCCCTGCACTTGCCAAGGGAAGAGACCTGTTTTACTGAATAGGCTGCTTGCTTCCACGTAACTGCTGCTGTTTCTGGTGTGTGAGCCTCCGCTTGCAGTCTTGACCTGGGCCGCCCAGTTCTGAGGGGTGAGCCAGGGTCCGGAGGGAGAAGGACTGACTGCAGGCCCGGGGAGGGGGCTGGAGGCGGAGGGGGTAATGCTGACAGCCTGCCCTGGGCTCCAGAACAGCCGCCTTCTGAAGTCGGTGCTGCCCCAATGTCTGCTCTGTCACGTAAATTAGAGCGGTGGGCGTTTGCCTAGCGATCTCCCACGTTCACACCCAGCCCTGTCCCTGACTCCGGCTTCCCACCGTGGTGCACCCTGGGAGGCAGTGGTGATGGCTCCTGTGGGAGATGCAGCCTCTGTTCCCAGCTCCTGTGCTGGGGTGCACGCTGCAGGGAGAGAGGACAGGGAGTCACACGTAGATACCCCACATCCTCATGGGGCGCACACTGCAGTGAGAGAGGACAATGGACACACA